AAAAAAATAACATTTAAAAATCTATAGCCACACCAGCAGTGTAGAAAACATAAAACTCTGAGAGGCACAAATATATATCTATATTTTCTTCCTTCTGCTTCAGCTCAAAAGTGCTTCCCAAAGGTGTGCTGTTCCTCCAACATCCTGTTAATATCCAATTCTTATTACTTGTCTGTCTAATGAGGGTGTCACCATCTTTCAGGTTTCACGCTAGTCAGGACTTCTGATTTAGGCTATTCAGTTTTTATTGTTGGACCAAAATACGGCAGTAACACAAAAGGTCATTTCTATGTTAAAACTCCCTTCCTGATCAAACCACTGCATCACCCAAAGCTGTTTCTATAGGAAGAATCAGGGGAAGAAGAGCCTCAGTGCAGCCAACCCACAGACCAAATGTGGCACCAATACTGCCTCTCTCCAAAGTTTCAAATCACTGGCTGGAGGGAACAGTTTCCTTCATCCACCTTTAAGCCATGTGGGTGCTTTACAGATCCTCGACTGCAAGCTCTTCAACAGCAGGGATCTTGTCCATCTTGTTCAGTGCTGCACCCCTACACTTGCCACAAATGAGGCACATATTCCCAATGGGGAGGAGAACACAAAGGCAGACAATATTCAAAGCTGCAACTCAACATGTGAACACCAACGTACCACATATGAAATAAAATAAAGATTCCCCTCTCCTCACAGACCAGGAGCGGGAAAAGATGAAATATTCATACCACATAGAAGTCCAGGCCGTAGATACCAATGCTTGGGTCATACTTGATGCCCAGATCGATGTGTTCCTGGATCCCAAAACCAAAGTTTCCAGTATCTGAGAAGTTGTTTTTTCTTAACTCATACTCCCGCACCTTTAGACCCTTCTCCAAGATTTCTTCTGCCTTGGCCCCTCGAACTGTGCAGTGGATAGCAATCTTTTCATTTCTCCGGATGCCAAAGGATCTGACAGTGTATTTAGCTTTGGAAAACACAGGGGTCTGCCCTGTGAGCTGCTCCAAAACCTTGGCTGCTCGGGTCAATCTGTCTCCACTCTCCCCAACACAGATGTTGAGACAGAGCTTGCGAGGATGCGAAGTTCCCGCATGGGGTTCTCCTTTTCACCTTGATCCTGTGCCATGATGGAGTACAGGAAGAGAACCTCTGCACCATTTATACAGTAAAAGAATTACAGCCATTATTTTAGTAACTAGTCCCTAAAACATAAAGGCTTTCTTTCCTCTTTCAAGAATTCTAAACCATGAGATATGTACTATACATGTTGAACACATATAAAGAGATGAGAACACATGTGAAGATGCAGAACACATGTAGAGTTTTGTTATAATTTTTTCTCTCTTCAAAGCATTTGTATTTTTCGAATGAAAGAGGGCCCAATCATTACTTAATCCAAATCCTGAAACCTGTAGGTAGATATACAATAACTAAGGCATAAAGAATAGCAGATCTATTCACTGATTGGGAGTTGAAAACAGAAAAAGAAAAGAACAGGAGACAGGGAAAGTGTTTACGATGAGTTGTGGTAAATGAATCTATATATTATATTACAAGGTTTCTACATTTTGCATAAAGTGGAAACAACATTAACTAAAGTTATTGTGAAAAGTTAAGAATGTCTATTGCATCCCTATAGAAACCACTTACAAAAAAAAAAAAAAAAAAAAAAAAAAAAACAAATACGGCCAGGCACGGTGGCTCATGCCTGTAATCCCAGCACTTTGGGAGGCGGTGAGCTCAGATTGGGGCGCTCCACTCCGGCCAAGACAACAAAAAAAAAAAACATAACCACTTAAAAAAAAAAAAAAAAAAATACAGGGGAAAGATTGCCAGAATGACTGAGGAAGAAGCATGGCAAATCCTTTCCCCAAAAAGCAATGATAAAATTCGACAAAATTATCAAAAACAACCATTTCAGTACACTGTAAATTGACCAAAGTCATACAACAACTTGAAAGGAAATTATTTTTTAAAAAATTACTAAACTTTAGTGAGCTCAGTGGAGGTCTGTGTTGTTTTACCCTGGGGCTGTTCCTATCCACCCTTTTCCCATAGCTCCATAGGGTGGTAGTTCTACCAGGGCAGAGCAAACCCTGAGAGGTAGCTGACAGAAGGGGCTGAGTTCCTTTGGACCAGAGCTTGAAATAAACCTATGCCCAGGAGCATTGTCAAAAACAATAGGGATCTCAGTGGTAAACAATCAGGGAAGTCCAGTATTGCAGCTAGCCTGAGGTTGCAACACTGTTTGGGGTAAACAACATACCAGCAGACCAACCAGAACTTTAACAGTGTGATCTGGAGACTGAGACAGCCACAGTAGGCACTGAAAAGCTCTCACATATCCCTGGGGGTCTGGAAGACTGCCTGCGTATGCATAATTGTGCATATGCTCAAGAGAGGCCAGAGATGGCTTTAGCTAGCTATGTAGCTGACTGAATATGAGGCTTTATGACACAGATACTAAAATCAGCGCAGACTTGGCCCGGCATGGTGGCTCATGCCTGTAATTCCAGCATTTAGGGAGGCCAAGGCAGGAGGATCATTTGAAGTCAGGAGTTTGAGACCAGCCTGGCCAACACGGTGACACCCCGTTTCTACTAAAAATACAAAATAATAATAATAATAATAATAATAGCTCAGGCGTGGTGGCATGCACCTGTAATCCCAGCTACTCAGGAGACTTAGGCAGGAGGATAACTTGAATCCAGGAGGTGAAGGTTGCAGTGAGCCAAGACCATGCCACTGCACTTCAGCCTGGGCGACAGAGTGAGACTCTGTCTCAAAAAAATAACAAAATAAAAAAAATAAATAAAAGCAGGGTAGACTTGTAAACTGCCTGTACACGGCATGTGATCTTCACCTAAACACAAAATATGTCAGTTAAAAAGTAGAAGCTTTATTACATCAAGGTGTTTAAGCACAACTTCTGACCACTCACTGGGTGACCAGTAAGCTATGATGGCCCAGGGTAACCCCTAGGAAATTAGGCATAAAGTGACAACAACGGTAACAACAATAATAATAATAATAACCGAGCAGAAACATAAGCTGCTGCATGTTGTGAGGGAGCCAGATTCCACAGAATTAGTTCATGCAAATCGCTAAACAAACAAGCAAAACAGAAACCAGAACAACCTGCAGTTGAGGGGGACCAGAATTCAAACTTGGTATAGTACATTACCTAAAATGTTCAGTTTTCAACAACAATTATGACATATGCAACGAAACAGTAAGTATAACTCATACACAGTGGAAGGGGATGGAAGCAGTCAATAGAGACCATCTCTGAGTGGGGCCAGAAGTTAGATTTAGTAGACAAAGACTAAATACATTCAAAGAACTAAAGAAAATCATGTTGAAATAATTAAATGAAAGGATGACAGCAATATTTCATCAAATAGAGAATACTGACGAAAAGAGAAAAATTATTAAAAAGAACCAAATTGAAATTCTGAAGTGAAAAGTACAATATAATTGGAATGAAAAATTTATTAGAAGGGTTCAATAGGTTTGAGATAGCAGAAGAAGAATCTATGAACTTGGAAGTAGATTCAATCTAAATAAAGAAAAGAAGAAAAAGAACAACAAAATCAACAGAGCTTCACAGACCTGAAGGACACCATGTATATAATGAGAGTACCAGGATGAGAAGAAAGGTGCAGAGAAAATATTTGCAGAAATAATGCCCCAAACTTATCAATTTGTGAAGACCCTAATCTACATATTCAAGCAGTTTAACTAATTCCAAACAGAATAACCACTGACATATCATGGATAAGTCATAGTGAAATTGTTGAAAGCCAAAGATCAGGACTGCCTTTGCCATCACTACTTTGAAACTCTAAATTTCTGAACAACGGACCTCACATTTTCATCTTCACTGGGTTCTGCCAAAGACAAAGAGAACATCATGAAAGCATCAAGACAAAAATAACTCATTATATACAAGGGAACCCACAATTATGTTAACAACTGAATTTTCATCAGAGTAAAGGCCAGAAGACAGTGGGATGACATATTGTAAGAACTAAAGGAAAAAAGAAAAAACCTGTCAACCTAGAATTCTATATTGAGCAAAACTCTTCTTTGGCAATAAAGGCCAAATAAAGATATTCCAAAAAACTAAACAAACAAACAAACAAACAAACAAAAAGACTGAGACAAGTGTTCCTAGCTGACTTGCCTTATGAGAAATACTAAAGGAGTCCTTGAGGATGAAGGAAAATGACAGCAGATGATAACTCAAGTTCACATAAAGAAACAGGGCAGTCTCAAAGTTAGTTTACGTAAGTATTAAATATATGTAACAATAAAAGACAGTATAAATATCTCTTTCTTTTTTCTTTTTCTTTTAGATATAGATCTCATTCTGTCACCCAGGCTGTAGTGCAGTGGTGTGATCATAGCTCACTTGCAACCTCAAACTCCTGGCCTCAAACCATCCTCCCACTTCAATCTCCTGAGTAGGTAGGCATGCACCACCCCACCTAGCTAACTTTTTAAAAAATTTCTGTAGAGACAATGTCTCATCATGTTGCCCAGGATGGTCTCAAATTCCTGGCCTCAAGTGATCCTCCTCCTCTGGCTTCCCAAAGTGGTAAGATTAAGCATGTGAGTCCTTGGGCCCAGACTGGTTTTTTTCTTAATTGAAAATGCAACCATATGAAGTAATTATAAAGCTGTATTATTGAGCTTATAAAATATAAAGATGTGATACGGATAACTATAATAACACAAAAAAGGAAGGAGAGAAGCTATAGAACAAGGAAATGTTCCAAAGAGTAACTCTAATCTATAAGAAGAAATGAAGAGCAACAAAAATGGTAAATAGTTACAGATTTCAATATTTCAGTCTCAATATTTGATAAAAACAACTAGACAGAAAAACAGCAGGGATATGGAAGACTAGAGCAACACTAGCAACCAACTTGATCTAACTGATACCTGTAGAACACTCCACCCAACAACAGCAGAATTCTTTTTAAGCACATATGGAACATTCTACAGGACACACCATAAGCTAGGCCATAAAGCAAGTCCAAATGCATTTTTAAAAACAGATGACTGAAATATTACAAAGTTTATTTTCTGACCACAGTGGAATTAAATGAGAAATCAACAACATAAGAAAATTTAGGGAATTTACAAATATTTTAAAATTAAACAGCACAGTTCTAAATAAGCCAAGGAAAAAAGCACAAGGAAAATTGGAAAATATTTTTAATGGAATAGAGAAAAAAACTATCAAAATATATAGGATGCAGCTAAAGCAAGATATATAGGAAAAATGTATACCTCTAATCACACATTCAATGGAAAAGAATAATCTCAAATCAATAACCTAAACTTCCACCTTAATAAACTAGAAAAAAGTAAACAAACTCAAAGCAATCAGAAAGAAGAAAATCATAAAGATCAGAGAGGAAATCAATGAAATAGGAAACAGAAAAGCAATAAGAAAAATCAATTTAATTAAAAGTTGATTCTTTGAAATGATCAAAATATTGGCAAAACTTTAGGCTGATGAAGAAAAAACTAAGACGACACAAATTACCAAAAATGATGAAAGAGGAGACATCACTATTGACCTTACAGAAACAAAAAGAGTTGTAAGAGAATGCTATGAAGAACTTTATGCTAACCAATTAGACAACTTAGATGAAATGGACAAATTCCTAGAAATGTAAGAGTTGCCAATACTGATTCAACAAGATATATAAATTCTGAATAGACCTATACCAAGTAAAGAAATTGAATTTGTAATTTTAAGTCTTCCCACATGAAAAGAATCCCAGGTCCAGTTGTTTTCACTGGAGGATCCTATAAATCATTAAAATAATACTTAATACTATCCTTCATAAACTCATAAAACAGGGATGGAAGGAATATTTCCCAACTCATACTATGAGACCAGTAATAACCTGATACCAAAATCAAAGACATCAAAAGAAAATTGCAGACCAATGTTCCTCATGAGGTTAGATGCAAAAATTCTCAGTAAAATATTAGCAAACTGAATCTAGCAAATATACAAAAAAAAAATGCTATATTATTACCATGTGGAACTTATCCCAGGAATGCAAGGTTGGTTTAACATCTGAATTATCAGTTAACATAATACACCATATATTAAAGCTC